CCAAAAACCTGTGCTTTGGGGGGGGGTCTAATATAAATCACCCAGACATAAATCATCAACTGTAGGTTCATCAGCTGTTGTTTGTAAGGTCACACTCCCCTCTTCAAGTTTACTGGAGATCCAGAAGACAACTTCAATGCATTTTCCCAATTAAATACCTCGTTTGGATCTAATACAATGTTTATTGACTCCTGGGCCTGTATTGATTCTGAATAGGCTACAGCTAAGGTTTAGTAAATGCCTTGGAGATAAATCAGCATGCAGGTAATAAACTGCAGATCACATAAGCAAACATTACTTAATTATATTCCTATTAATATATTGAGTCTGTAATGAATTTTTGAGGCATTTAATTATCAATTTGACAAGATAATCTAGGGGTAGTTAATGATGGACCAGGAAATTGTTAAAAAAACACAGACACTTAATAAGTCTCCTAACTGACACTGAATTAACTTGCTTTAGCTGTCTGGTTAAATAGACAGCAGTTAATTACAGAGTGCTTAGGCAGTCTCACAATTTTAATGTATGACCCTCTTTGCTGTGCAGTAATCATACAGCAGGGGACATGGGGTTTTCTCCATGTTATTTCCTTCCGATGGCTGAATTATTGGCTGCTATAACCACTTTTGCCTTCAGTAAGATTCAGCAGTTAGGCCTTTATTATTTACAAATACAATGGACTGCTCCCTCTCTTTTAATGATCAAAATCATTGTGTGTTTTAATCCCTCCAGGATTAACAACAAAAAGAGAATTTCTCACTCCTAGGAGGGGTAACAGTTTGGAAAAGGAAGCAGCCGCTTTGAGGCTCCAAGTGGTCCCTGGACAGGCAGACACACCAGCTAGATACCCTGGCTAGCCACGGATGTCTGAGTTTTGCTGTCCACATCCTCACATATATCCAAGAAATGCTCTACCCAGTGCAGAAGTGTAGCTCCTTATTTGGATAAAATCCGGCACTTCCCTGCAACAAGGGGATCAGCACTGACTCATACGAGGATGATCACTTGCCATAGTGTTTTGGGTGCATAAAAAAAATAAATTAAGAGAACTGAGCCAGCCAAGGCAGCACCAGAAACAAGCATTAACAGTTCATCCCGGAGGTTAACAAATAAGGGTAACAAGTAGTAATAGCTGTGACACCTTCTCTAGGAGTAGCCTCAAGCTACACTGAGGAAATGCAGCTTCCTCGAGCTGGGGAAGTGGTGGCACTAGCTGGTTTGAAATGTAAAACACTGCTGATAATCCCGGGCTGTGCATGAATAAAACATTGTAGATCCCTAATCGACTGGAGAAAACACCCTTCTTTAAGAAAAAGACATTTCAGGAAGTAGAAGCAGTGCTGTTTGGCTCTAGGAGTTCAGAGGCCTGGAGTCATCAGTCTCTCCTATCATTAGTTTCAAGAGAAATTTTCAAGTGCTGGTTCTTTTAATTTATTTACTTTGGGGAGCCTTTAAGAATGAAGCCTTTTTCCACAGTAATTCTGCAGTCTAAAAGATCTTTCTCCAAAAATAAATAAAAACATTCATGCAATAGCACAAATCCAGGAAGAAGGGCTTAAAAAAGCCACCAAATGTTTTTGCTACTGGAAAACTTGAGCAGAAGCCCCAGGGACCCTTCCTCAGCCAGACATTTCCCTGACAGTGCAATGACACCAGCAACATCATTCTGCTCCAAAAGCCCTTAGCAGCTGTGGTAGTGTTAAGTAGCAGAGCTAGTGGGCAGAGTCCTTCCATCACAGCCATGATGGAGGCAAAAATTCAGTGTAGAGAGCTCTCAGTCTGGGAACTAAGAAGTCCTTGTGAAATCTGTGTCTCTAGCTGCTTAATTTAAGTCATGTTCATGTTGCACACAGCTAGGCCAAGAAAGAATGAACAGGGTTGTTTCAAGGCACAGTTCCCAGGGCACCACTCTCCAGCTTCACCCAAATGAGAAAAATAAAAGTTTCTCTCATCTCTGGCTGAGGACAGCTTGGACACCTGAGGAGGCTCTGATGGCTGCTGAGGACACCCAGCCAGTCTTCAGCTCAAGCAGAGCTGCTTAAGTGGTCCTGCAGGCCCCTTCTGCCCAAGGAAGGCAAGAAAAGCCATCAGGAATCCTTGCCATCTCCAAAGCATTGATTCCTATGGGTTTATCAGTGACACAGAGAGAGGGAAAGGATCATGTCTTGACCTTTTGTCCAGCCACCACCCCCCAGAATCAGCTCTGATTTGTTACCTACTGAGCAGCGACCTCCCTTCAAGAGGTACCCGGTCATTTCAGGGCAGATCACCATTAGATTAAACATCTACACTAAGTCTCCTCTGAGAGAGGGACCACTAGTTGAGGTCGGAAGGAATTCACACCCATTCAGTTTGTGCTGCAGGTGGGACCTTGGCAAATGCACAGACCATTCCCTCAGGGCAGAGAGAGGAAACCCAGCTGAGTTTAACCCCTTGCTCTCTGAAAGAGAAGGCAGCACTTTCACTGTAGACACCAAGCCGGTGAGGTCACTGACAGGGCTGTGCTCTGCAGGATACTTGCTCATGCCCAGTTGTCTTGGGCTTTCCAGAAGAGAAACTGTCAGAGGTGCCAGAGGTGTTGTCAGCTGACATTTACCACCAGCTCTGCATGTGGAACTCAGCACATGCATCACCAACATGCTGTGGTAACTCTTAAAATCTACTTTTGGTCCCAGCACCCCTTGGGATGTCTAGAAACAATCACAGCCTATGGTGTTTTTGGATGGTCTGGTAATGAAGCTGTTTGCCAGGGCATGCAGCCGTGCTCTGGCCTGGAGGCCTGATCACAGCTCTGGCCCTCAGGATCTTTGGTCAGTGCCGCTGCGGTCCAGAGCCAACTGAAAGTTGATGTCCTGGTCTCTAAGACTGTTGCTTCCTCTGACCTATCCCTGTAGGTTTCTTCTCTGTGATTTCTGCTCAGAATGGGCAAGACTGTCCCATTTCCTCAGGGCAGTCAGCTGCTGTGCCCAACTGGGGCTGCGGATGTGGGCTGTGGGTCCACCAGCCCCTCACCTCTCTTACCCAGCACAGATGAGCACTCCAGCCCCTGCACATCCCTCCTCCTCTTGCACAGATGGTTGCCGGGGTTTCTCTTTGGCTGCTGCTTTTGGGCCCAGCTGCAGGAGGGCTCTGCTCCAACACAGGCTCAGCTGGGCAAGCACAATGGGAAAACAAAGGCCCGCTCGCTGGGGATCTAAGCCTTTTCAGCCCCGTTTCCTTTTCCGATGCTTTCATTTCCTCCAAGTGAAATACTGCTGAAAGGAGGACACTGTGGCTGTGGCTGCTGCCATAGGCATGGGGCCTGGATGTCACTAGCTGCTGCTTCATCTGGGTCAGGAATTTCAAAGGGGTCTTCACTCGGCCCTTCCCATAGAGATAATACTTCTTCTAAACAGGTTTACCCAATAAATTGGTAGAGACCTGTAATCACTCTGCCTTAGAAACAACTGGCCTTTCCTGACCCATGTCCCTACAGCTGATCCCAGAAGAGGTGCTGGACATCCTGGAGCAAGTGCAAGTGCAACAGAAGCCTAGCAGGGGCTTCTTAACTTTTAGCATTTGCTCTGCAGTTTTGAAAGCACTCAGAAAACCCAAGGATGCACTTGGGAAGTCAGGAGGAACTGGGGTAGCTCGTGCTTTGGTAATTACAGCGTGGGGCTGGAAAGAGGAGGAGGGAATAAAGTGGCGTAATTTATAGCATGGCTTTACTGCCACTGTCCCTGATAACGAGGGACTGGGGGAATGTTTCGTTTTAGAGAAAGGGAGCCTGCATTCCTTTAACAGCGTTTTGTCAGGTGACAAAGCTATCCTTGCCGGAGGGAGAAGGTTTGAACCTGCGCATTTGCTAAGGAAGGAACTAGCATTCCCCGACTTTGGAGGAATCTTTCAGCTAAGCCGAGCTGAGCCCCGAGCGGGAGGTTCCCTCGGGCCCTGGCGGCTCGGCGTGTCCCCGCGGTGCCGGGCCTGGCCGGCAGAGGGCACTGGCGGAGCGGGATTGCGGCCCGGCCTGCGGCCCGTGCGGCCTGCGGCCCTGCCCGCCGGGCGAGCGGCACCTGCTCGTCCCAGGCCCAGAGCTCCCGCGGCTTGGGAAAGGCCGCCACGGGTCTCACCATGAGGGCACCAGCTACTGAGTGAGCACTGGGGTCCTTGGGCAGCCCAGGCAAATCTCTCCTAAGGATGGATCGCTTCCATAGGACAGGGATGGAAATAAGGCACCTCTGAGGAGTGTGCCAGTCTGGCAGTGTGGAACCTCTCTTCTGTCCTCCCACTAGTCTCCATCCTGTGACCTGCACACTAAACAGCCACCCAGGCTTGGCGGAAATGGGGATTTTTTTGAGATGAGAACCATCCCCCTGCCTCTTGGCTGACTCTGGCCGGGACCCCTATTTCTGACGGACGCACCATCTTGCAGCCTTGCAGAGCCCCCACAAACAAGCAGGTTTGTTTTATTTCAAGTTTCACAAAGTGATATGGGCTTTGTTATTTGAGCTCCGGACCCTCCTTGGCCTGTTGGCTGCTGTTTCCCGGCACTGCACCTCTTCCCAAGGAGGGGGTCAGGCAGCTCTGCCTGCAGCAGAGTTCCAGCACAGGCTGGATGATGCCCGTGGGGTGGCCAGAGATACCATATGCAGCTGGGGATGGCAAAGAGGGGCACACGGGTCCGTGGCAATGGGGCAGTGGCAATAGCAGCAGAAGGGCAATGGCAGCACCTGGTCCCAGCCTGCACAAGGGTTGCAATGGGGCTAAGAGCCAGGGAAAAGCCCTTCCTTGGAGCCCCTCTAACCACGAACGGCAGGAGCGGCACATCGCTGGAAGTGACTGGTTTGCTCCAGTAGCCTCTTTACAAGCACCAAGGGACAGCTGTTTGGGGACCGCTGGGTTTTTTAAAGGCCACTTGCGAGCTTTAATACTGCGCTGGGGGAGAGTGGAAGAAGGAGGGGGTCAGGGAGGGGTGGTTGCATTGACTGCTTAGGACTTAAAGCTGTAAACCTCTTCTTCCCTCTCTCATTGCTGGGACATTTTTATTGGCGAGATGAAGGGAGACAGAGCACAGCTCCACAACTTGCTCTTCTTCTAGAGGTTAATGACCCAGTTAGCAGCTCTTGGCTGCATTTCCCGACATTTTGCAGACATCAAGACCCGTCTCCCTGCCAAGTACATTCTGTTCCCTGGAGCTCGGCCAATGCATCTCAGATTACTATGTAATGCGACAAAGAGGGAGAGCTGGAGGTGAGGGAGGGGGCTGGAGGGGAGATACGGGAGCCGTTGGGGAGGGGGCAGGAGGGGGTGAGAGAAGGGGAAACACCACTTCTAAATTTAACAACTAAGATGGAAATAAAGCTCCCAAGGTGCTTATTTGCTGGATAAAACGTGAATCCCAGGATGAATTGGAGTGATGCTTCTGGGAAACAGATGCAATCAGCAAATAATTCCCCCCTAGGGACTGTGCAGGCCTGTGCTTCCTGGATCTGCTGACAGTCGAGCTCTGCTTCTGATGCCCTTGTGCCCAGGACAAATACTGCTGGGGAACTGGGGCTGCTTTCCTGAATGACAGTCTAGTATCACAAGAGGAACAGGGGCTTAGACAAGAAAATGGGGAGTGGGGGGATTGAAGAGGATGAAGTTCCTGCATGGTGTTTTCTTTATCTTTTTGCACCCAGAGCACATGATGCTGCTCAGGCACCCTGTGCTTGGCGAGCTTTGCTGCTCCAGATCCTGACACTTTCACAGTAAAGGAAGGAAGGTCAGACCATGGGGAAGGCTCTCCTGGCTGTGGTTGAACAGAGGCTTGCAGAGGGGTTAAGCTGACAAACTTACTGATAGCTGGTGCCTGCCATTGGTAGAGACTAACCTGATCCCACACTCCGCTCATAGGACCTGAGATGCCCCACAGCCAGGCCCATACCAGCAGTGCTCCAAGCCCTGCTCTCTCTCCATGGCCTGGCAGGAACAGTCAGGCAGGGTCAGTTCCCAGAGCTGAGAGAAAGGGTTGCTCCCCAGCATTGAGTGCTCTTAGGTTGTGCACCAGGCAAGATCTGCTCCCATCTCCAGAAGTGGTTGGATGGAGCCAGGCAGCATCTCAAGGCTCCCACCCTGCTCCCACAGGCTGGACAGCCCCCTTTGTGCCATTCCTCAGGATGGTGCCCTATGAAATGGTAAGAGAAGAAACACGAGAGGTCTGGCTCAATGGGACTGCTTATCTCCCTGGAGCAGAGCCCTCCTTCCTCTTCAGAAATTATTTCCTTGAAAGACACAAACTAGCACAAAACTGCCTCTTGCTCATCTCCATCTGCAACGTGGGGCTGGGTACCGGGAAGCCATGGTTGCTCACTGCATTTGCCAGACAGACATGGCTTTAGCAGAGTATTTCACTATGTGCAGCCTAAGAACGAGATGAGTTTGGTTTACCTGTACCAGGAGTTGCTCAGGAAAGTCCTGAAAGAAAAAAAAGAATAATGTTTTTATGGAGAAGAGCTTCCTCAAAAACCACAGTAAACATCGGCATCTAAAAATCTGGCTCTGTGTCACTTCACTGCTGAGCATCTGTCCTCGAGGCCAGCCCCACAGAGAGAAAATCATCAGGGGCCAAAGCATCCTTTAAAACACAAGCCTTGGCTAACCACAAACATGCAACACTCCCAACTTCTAAGCCACACGTCAGCCTCCTCCAAAGGATGAGAAGGTCCAGACACAGTCCTGTGATTAGGACATCTGGAAGGAGGGCACAGGTTGCAGGAAGGAAAGAGCCCCTCCTTCCCAAGAGGAGCAGGGTAGAGCATACACCGAGTCTCAATTTTCCAGCAAAATCATCCAAATCCTCTTTGTGTAGCTCATGTCCTTCCACAGCAGATGCCCAGTGTGGAGATGAGCCCACATCACACACACTGTGATGTGCACAAACCCAGCCTGCAGTGATGGTCCTGGCCCCACACACCTGATATTCGACTGCCCAGCAGAGTTGTTACAAGCCAACAGCTCCCAGCCAGCAGGGAGGGCACAGATGAGCAAATGGGGAAAACCCTGCCAGAGGCATCTCAGCATCTGGTACAATGCTAAGAAGACTTGGGTTGGGACAATTACAGTTTAAGTATTTCTATTACCAATGCCAGAAGAAGCCTTTGAGCCCTTATCTGGGAAAATAATAGCAGGTAGATGACTGCTAAGTTCACATTGCTTTTTTTCTACCCTTCTCTTTCCCCACAGATCTGTGCTGGAGTAGAAATCATGTCAGTAAACAAGCATCAAGCACATACAAAGACAGAAATGTTCCAGTCCTATTTGTGGAGCAGGGTGAGCCAGGTAAGCACCAGCTGGACCTTCCATGTGACTTGTAGTAGGGAAGCAGAGACATGAGTGGGGAAGCTCATCCCAAAAGCTGAGACTTTTTGTTTTACAAGACCAGCAAAGACCTCATTTCTGTCTCAACTGGTTCTTGAATTTACCAACTCACAGAAACCATCAGGCAGTTTTTGTGCAATAACTACAGCCAGTCTAGGCTTAATCCCTCACCTTTTAACAGTACCCCCAGATTCACCTGCCTCAGGAAGAAGTAACCCAAGTGAAGCTCATTAGTCTAGTGTGGGCAGGGCAGAAAACAGTAAACTTAAAATGCATTGAGGAGGATTTAATTTTGGCCCATCTCTAAATGTTTCAAATAACAAACACAGTTAAGCACTGAAATCATTGCCTAGGAGGTCTGTGAGATCTGTATCCTCAAAATGCTTTCAGGAACAGGACAAACATCTGTCTGAGTTACCTTGGGTTCAGCTGATCCTATGTTGTGGCAGAGTATGGACCAGTTGACCTCTTGTTATGCATTGGCCTTTCCCATCCCACTTTCCAGATGTGTTTGTTCAGCTCCTCTCTGTCACAAGCTGACCCCTCCCTGTGTGTTCACAGGATGTGTGGCACACTGCTGAGCTGGTGCTGAGTAAATTGGTCTGACTTGTGAAATCATATTTTCCTTGAAATTAGGATGAGTTTTGAGATATACATAAATGTATAGAATAGCAGAGAATATTTATTAGGGTTGAAATTAACATTGATTGATTTGATTTTTGCTGATTAGGTAATTATGAGAACTAAAGGGGTAATCACCTTTTCAACGAGGAAATGAAACAATCATCCAAGCTAGACAAGTCCTGAGTTTCTAATTTGAGCAGGGGAAAAAAAAAAAAAGCTACAGGTGAAGAGGAAAGAGCAGTATCTATGCCCTGTTGCCTTTTGCTCTTGAAACAAACATGGGCTGGGACTTTTCCCACCATGGTCATCTCAGTTTTATCCATCCATATGTCTTGGGAGATAGACTGAAGAGAGATGCAAGGGTTAGCCTGGGGAAAAGCAATGCAAGATGCAGATTTTGGCTTAGTTCACACCCAGAGGAGGAAGAAGCCTTTCCTACCTTTCTCCACCTCACCGGAAGTATGTACAGATTTGTCAAGTAATTGACAGCTGGACATGAGGCTCACAGGAGCAAGTCCTGCATCACTTCCCTCCCTAGACCTGTCTCTTGCACACCTGCAGCCCCTCAGGGCCTCTGACCCCCAGACTGGTTCACTGGATGTTTGGGATATCTCTGGGGGTCATGTCTTGGTGCTCTAGGATTTCTTCCCCAGACACAATCATGGGAAAAGGCCACCAAGTGCAGACCTCAGTCTCACAAAAAAAAAAAAAACCAGTGCCCAGCAGTTGCCACCCCTTGTTGCCTTGTGCATGGCACCCATAAAAGTGCCATGATTCCTTGCCCCTGTTCCCACCTGTGTCATAATGGAAGCCAGGATGAAAGGACACTCTGGAAAGTCTGCTACCATCAGTCCCTTAAAAACAAAACAAACAAAGGCCTTTTCTCAACTGCAGTGGCATGAACAGAGCTTAGTCCCCCTGGCCACTCCAGGATGTGGCTGAGATATATCAGGGAAGAGCAGCTGTCAGCATGGATGTGCCTAAAATTAGCTCAAAGAGAAGGTTTCCTCCATTTATTTATTTATTTGCTCCTTAAAAGGTCCCTTATTAGATGCAAATTCAGCACAAAAGCTTCAAGCCAGTACAAAGGCACTGCTAATATTTTTCAATTACACTGAGAGGAAGGTCACAGCACTTTGCATTTGGATTTCTACTTGGGATAGAAGCTGTAGCAAAGTGGGGACTCCTTGGAGATTTGGCTGACGGAATGTATTGGGAAGAGCTGCACCATGTGCAGCAGGTTCAGCTGGTGAGCTGGTGTGCTGGAGACCAGTGTGTCACTTATTTGATGTTTTAGGTCCCCCAGGAAGAAATCATGGACAGTGGGTCTAACCTTAATCTCTAATGCTTTTCAGATATACACACATTCCCTTCCAAGAGGTTTTTTATTATACATTATGGCATCTGCTTTTATCTGTTTGCCAGCTTTTGCTTACCGTCCATCTTTCCCACCCTCTGATAATTCCAGGACTCCCTCACCAATTTCACTCCCTCACACTGTAGGGGAAGAAAGGGAGTGAAAAAATATTAAAGATACTAGATTCCAGCAAGAGTTTGTCAGAGAAAATTACCTGAATACAGCCTTTTGTAAGCAAAAGACTGGAGAAAGAATTCCCTCCTTCTTAGAAAAGAATCCAAATATGGCATAGATCCACAGGAAAGCAGGCTGGTTCACTTCTGCTGCTCAGAAGACCATCTGTTAATTATAGAGCTCACAAAACTTCATCTCATCACCTCTGTTTGGCTCATGACCCAGGGACTGAAATGGGAATACCTATACAGACATTTTGAAGAACTGAGAAATAATAAAAAAGAACTCTAGGGAAAAAGCAACCCCAAATTTCCTTTAATGTACCTAGTCCATCCCACACATCTCAGAAATATTTTTTTGTGCATACTCCTGGAATGGGCTTTGCAGGACACAAGAGTGCCTTCAAACTCTTTCTGACACCTTGCTCTGCAGTGACCCACAGCCATCCAGGAGCTGAGTCCTGAGGCTGCTGCCTTTGTGCAGACTTGCTGCTCTCCCAGGTGCCTTCCCTCGCCTTCCTTTCATTTCCTACTCTGCTTACCATACTTTTTGAGGTGAAGAATTGCCACCACCGTTGCAGGAAGGCACTGGACAAGCCTGTGGCAGGGGGCTGCTCCTGCAGTGTGGAGAGAGCCAAAGAATGAAGTGAGCAGTGAGTGGCAGCAGCACCTGGATTGCCCTTGCACACAGCCATGCTATAATGCAACATGTCTGGTGTAGCTTGGTCAAGTTATGCCACAATCTTTGTTTCTTGACTCTAAAAGTATTTGGACCCAAGTTTTTGATTTGCACAAGCAGGGGAGGCCATGCACTACACCTCTGTGCTACCAGAGCATAAATAATAAGTGGGCTGGAGCACTGGCTCTGAGCAGGCCATTCCATCTACAGCCAATCTCCATATTCAAGGTCCAGGAGCAGTTTTCAGGCTGCAGCTTCAATTTTTTCCGATCCACCAAGTCAACTGGATGCACATGCAAGCTGGATCCTGAGATTTTATGGCTTTTTAATAAGAAGGTGAGAACTATTTACACTCTGCATAATCTCTTCCCTTGGGACAGCAATCCTGCTCAGGGTTAAAGGCCTGCTAGAGCTACCAGGTCACCCTATCTTTATCCTCTTCTCCAAGAAAGTACATCAGAGAGCAGAAAGTCAAGCATCTCAGGGTACATCTGGCTTAAAAAACGAGCCCCCCTACCCCATATTGCTCATCCGTCTGCTCTGATGGCATCAGTGTTTCTCTGAACAGCACTGCAAGTAGTGCTGATTGCAGAGCAGCAGCAGGAAGATGGGAATCATTAAAGCAACTCAGCCAAAGCCCTGTAATTAATTAGAAAAGCATCTTGGCATTATTAGAGAGGCCTCAGCAGAGGAAGCAACACCTCTGTTCTAACAGACTCACCTTCCGCCAGAGCTGCTGCTGTGATGTTTGACATTGTGCTGGTGTAAACAGAAATTAGAAGTCAGTGTGACAGGGAGAGGAGCCAGTGGCAGGCTGTGCCCTTGGCCAGGGCTGTGCTGTGTGCCGGGAGGTTTCCGTGCTTTGCTCGCAGGCAGAGATCAGATCCTGGAAACAGCTCAGGTAGGGATGATTGCTGCTCAACCAGGAAGACCCTGTTGTCTGCTGCGATTAAAAGCAAACCCAGGTTTCCCAGAAACTGAACATGAAACTGGTTATCCAGGTGTTTGTGATTATAAACAGCTAAATGTACATAAAAATGCCACCCAAGACTCCAGGAACTGGTGTTTCCTGGGATCTAGACACATGCAGGATGCTGCTGTCCCTGGCAAACATGCACAGGCTGGCTGCATGGAGAACTGGGCCATGCTCAGAACTGCATATTCATGGCATGCAAATGTTAAGCTACTGCAAGCTCCCATTGCTATCACCAGCACACAGTACCATGGCCATGAGTCCCAGAGATGGAGCAATATCCTATGGGGAGCAGCAGGATGCTGCAAGATCTGTGTGTTGCTGAAAATAAGATCATCAAAAGGAAGATAAAAACACAAGACTAAACTAGTCAGGATTGGCTTAAGGACTCCTTATTTCCTCTGGGGCAGGAGGCCAGGTAGTGTGGCTGGCTCATGGGGCAAGGAGGAGGTGGCAGGAGCCCTGGCTCTCCCACTGACCTGCTGTCATACCTTTGGCAACTCTATTTTACCATAGGCTAATTTTGCCCTTTCCCCACTTGGTACTGTCAGCCTCTAGGAATTCATAAGTCTTGATTTGGGCCTCCAAACACCATGATTTTGGCTTAAAAACCAAGCGCTATAAGCATATACATATGAATTACGTGCCTTTTTGAGTGGCCTTGTGGTTTCTGACTCTTTACAGATCATATTTCCAACTGAGCAGGTCAGATTTTTTTTTATGATTATTATTATTTTAAATGAAAGCCAAGAATTTCACATAAACACAGGGCTCTGGCAGCTTGAGTTGGCAGCACTGCCCGCTCTTCATGTGTCCTGCCTGCTTAGACAGGGAGCATCTGAGGCATGGGCTGTCACTGGCCATGTCTGCAGAGCATCAAGCAAAACCTCCCCAGTCTCAGCTGGCTTCCTGAACTTCCCCAGGGCAATTGAGAAAAACCAGCCATTCCCCAGATGTTTCCAGAGAAGATAACTGTAGTTCTAACTGAGTAGTTGGGATAACTCCTCAGTTTGGCCTGCATTAGAGCACAGGTAAGCAACAGACTGGAAGTGACCAAGGAGTAGGCTCCTGAGAAGATTTTTGGTGCATCCTATTTTGGCCCTGTTATTGCAGCCTTGCCAAGGTGCTTTAAGTGATCTTCAAAGCAACAGAACGACTAAGCTCTGAGAACTTGTCTGTGCATGCATTTGCTATTTTCTTTGCTGAGTTTCAGATGAGGTCCTGGGCATACTCTGGGCAGAAGTTTGAGAGGAAGATTGTGTGTAATTGAACTGCCTTGCTCATCCCTTGATGTGCAAAAACCTCCAATTCCCCATCTTTTACCTTGCAGATGTGTGGATGTACCATGGGAAGCTCTCTGTCTGTGCAGCTGTCACCATCTCCGGGATAACAAGAATCATGGCTTTGGCTCTCAGCTCTGAAGCTCATTACTTCACATTCTGAAGTGAAGATGTTCTCTGAATAAATGAACAAACTGAGATCTTCAAATGAACAACAAATTCTTCCTCAGGTCAGCTTTACAGAGTAAGCAAATATTTCAGGAAAGTATGGTTACTGCTCATAGCTCTCTGGAGCCAGCCTGCTAACTCCTCTGCGGTGGCTGTAAATCTGGTGGTGGTTCAGCTGAAGGACCTCACAGATGCTATTTCAGGCTGATATAATGTACCATAAATGGGATTGAAAGCACCCATCTATAGCAGACAAAGCCCTTCTGGTTCATTCAAACACTGAGGAAACCGACCATTGTATATATGCACAGTTGGGATTCATCCAAAAGTGAGTGGTAGCCAAAAGAATTTACACATTCCCTGGCTGGGGAACATGTTGATTTCAGAAGGCAGCAAAGGTAACACAAGGATACAGGGAGACTCCCTTGTCTGGCATTTAGTATTTGAATCTCATCCTTTGACTCACCATGAAAGGGAAGAGTCCCAGAAGGACAGAAGAGCTCCCACCATAAATGATATTACTTATTTAGAGGCAACAAGGTATTTGGTCTCCATGGGATGGCAAGAAAACAGAACTTGCTCTTGGAGTCTCTGTCTGAATTTTAGGGGGTGTCTATCTAGCTAAAGTGATGCATCAATAAGCATAATATTGCAATCAGCTTGTGGAATGCATTTCTATAAAGCCCTGCAGAAAACCAAGGGGATCCAGAAAGGTCTGGGGGTGCAATTCTTCAACTGTAAGTACTCCAAATGAACACGATGGCAGGGGGAGCCTGTCTTCAATGTGTGAGAATATATCTAATTAATGGGGTCAGGGGAAGGGTCCCCTGGGGCAGACAGCCACACCAAGGGTACACAGGGTGCCCTGGGAAGCTGTGCTCCTGGCGCTGGTCCCACGTGGGCCACAGAACCAGAGGGATGCGTGGTCTGATCCTGCCTGGCAGTTTCTGTGCAAAATGGGGCCAATTTGCTGGGAAGCTTCCCACTCCCAAGGAGGGAAGAGGTGGGCTGCGAGTTTAACAAACATTTTGGTATTTGGAAGTCATTCCCAGATCTCATTTAACACACAGACTGCATTTCCCGTTGCTAACTGGCAGCAAAGAGCTCATCAACATTTAAATAAGAGGCTTGTTAATGCCAGCGTGAGGCAGGTTTGCATGCCAAGGCTGGCTAAGGTTTCATGCCAAGGATTTTCTAAGAGAGAATTTCTCTAGGAAACTCCTTTAAAAAGAAGAATTCACTACTGGTTAAAGAGAGCGAGGGCTTAATTTGAAGAGGTGCTGAGCTGGTTAAGTCAAATGGATGGTGCAAGAGCTGAAAGCCTGTGAAAATCAGACTCCTGCTTTTAAATCAATTAACTGAAGAATGGCATGTGGAGTTTTGCAACTGAGTATGCTTTCTGCAGTGCAATAACTGAAGGAAAAAAGGCTACACATAACTTCTTCCTTCAGTGTCACTGACTTTCCCATTAATGGTAAATATGCTCAGGTGAGACTTTAAATGCACCTGCTACCTGAGTGTGGAAATATGAGACTCTACAAATGGTCACATGTGCCTTACTACATGGAGGATGTGCAATCTTTGGCTGTTTTTCTAGATATCAAATGAGTCCTGTAAATGAAAAAGCATTTTTACTCTGGAACTTTGTTTTGAGCCTTCCATATGGAGACAAAGTCATCTCAGAGCAACTGGAGAGGAAGGGTGGCAGTTTTGGCAGAGCTAGAGGGTCCTGCGCTGTATGTCTCTATAGGATGTTTTATTGCCTTTCCTTGTTCCGTCACAGAACAGGAGTAATGTCCGTGGTGTCAGAATATGCACATGGTAATTGGCTTTTGCTGTAATTAAATGCCTCGGTGCCAGCGTTTAATCAGCCGCCAAAGCCGTTTATTGCCTCATATACGGCTGCACCACACGCATTACCCCTTAATTAGTTGCTGAAATAGTGATGATTTAGCAGCGTCTTTATGTTTATACTTTAAGACAGCAGATTCAGTCCAACACCAACAATATGGCAAGATAAAAAAGCAGACCATTCTGCTATGCAATGATTTTGAGCTTATTTATTTTTCCTTACCTCATGGAAAACAGTGTCATAAGTAACTCCTGGTGACACCGCACTGGAGGTGGTTGGCACTTGGAAAGCAGTTGCTAAGTCTCTGCTCTGCTTAAGGCTGACCTTGGGTATTTTAAGTGGATTCAGTATCCATAAAACATTGTTCCCAAAAATTCTCAGCAGCAAAAGAAGTGTAAGCTTCACCCACGTTGACACACCGTTACCAGGACTGCCAGGTGGGGCAGACCTGAGGCAGAGAGCTCCCAGTCTTCTCACAGGAGCTCCCTGAGGAAAGGAACTCCTTGGTGTAGCTGGAGTAGTGGCACTTTGTTTTGCACCACCCTGGCAGGCTGTGACACTGACAGTGGCATCAGTTCTCCTGACAGCCCCACCCAAACTCCTCTTCCCCCTTTTCCAGGCTTGTTTTTGCAGCCATGGTGCTGCTGTGTGGTGCAGCCACTTGCCACTTTTGGAGTAATGGAGCAGTGAAAGGGCCCACTCACTTGTCCATTCATCTTTTCCAGTTTTAGTTGTCTGAAAGGAAGAGGTCTGGTCTGATCTTTCAGAGTCCCTTGAGGGAGGGCATGAGGGAGATAACTCCAGAAAGCAGTTCACCCTGCCAAAGCTATGCTGGAGGAACGGCCCTTTGGAAATGTCTCTCTCTCACAGAGGGAGCCCTGCGCTATCTTGCATTGGGCTCTTCCCTTCCTAACTATTACTCCAAACCCTTCCCAGAACACCAGTACTGCTAAGACCAGCATTGGGGACAGATTTATCAGCCTTCTAGGTTTCTTTTCTGCTTTGAAAACCTCTGAGGAAGCTCAGGAAGCCTCTGAAATCTTCTCCAAATTGACTAGAAAGCAAAACAAAACTCCTTTTTTGACACAGAAGTCATACAGGAGATTAGCCTAGATAAACATCAAGATGAACATCCCAGGCTCACCTTTTTTCAAAGCCAGGTGGTTAAATCACCAGTAGCTACAGCTGGAGACCGCCATTGCACCAGAACACAGGGAGTTATGTTCATCTCACCAGACACATCACCAACAGAGCCAGTCACCTCTGCCTCCATCCCTCAGCCCCAGGACAGCCACCACTGGCACCTGGATTTTAGATAGACTTCACTCCCAAAGCTTTCATTGTCTTCAAAGAATTCTGGTAGCCTTTGATTGCAAGAAAAGCAGTGCCAAACTAAGGAATTAATAGCTCCCCCACCCTTGGCCCTTGCCTCTGGCCCCTGGCCTGCTAATGCATTTTGATTTGCGTGTGGACAACGTATCCCTGGAACTTTTCCATCGTAACAAGTTTAGGAAAAAGTAGCTTGTGCTATAAAGGAAGTAATAATATCAAGTTTGGAAAACTATATAGCAGTTTGAATAGAGTTGAAAGCCCACACCATCACACTCCCTTTACTGCCAAGACAAAGCCTGTCAGACTCACGTGTCCTGTAGGAACAAGCTGCAGTTTGTCCTTTCCTGAGGGAGAACACAGGCCCTTCCTAAAGTCCCCTGGGGAAGGAGAGGAGGAGCTGGGAGCAAGGCTGCTGCCTGCACCTCCTTCCACAGCTAGCAAAGCATCCCCTGACAATACATAACCTACTAAAGAAGTCCTTCATTTTCTCTGGTGGTGGGAAAGTAAGGATGGTATTTAATTTACAGACAAGAATATTTGGTCTGGGCAGTAGGAGAGACTGTCCAAGGGTGAAGACAACACTGCTATAGAGAGGACTGGGAGGGGAGGTTGTGGGATTTCCATATGCGGATGTCTTCAAGGTCACACTAAAGTTTTCTTGGGAATGCCATGGAGGGAATGGGTTTAGCTGTTTTGTGTGGCTTGGGATCTTTCTATAACTCAAAAATTGTTTTAGGATAACCACATCTGCTGATAGGGAGAACAGTATTAATCTCATTTAACCCTTAAAGGCACGAAACAAACCTGTCCCAGATGCTTATCTAAAGAAAAGATGACATCACTTCTCCATTGACAGGAGGGACAAAAAAAGCTGTCTTCTAGGGTGCTGCTAAGTTCATGGAAATGAATCCCACCTTGAAGACAATCTGTGCAGCACTGTGCAGGAGATTTCTGAGAGAAAAGGGTTTTTATAGAAAGGTCCAAGGATAGAAAGGGTAGAAAAACAGAGGCTATAAGCAGGGTGCAGATATCTAGCATACAGTACTTGTGGAAAAGCTTACTGCGATACACTGGACTCCCCACCACATGAAGCATTTCTGTCAGCAGTGTTCAGTGCCGCACCAGGTTCTCTGGCAGGAGAGGTGGAGGTCAGGCTGTGTGGCAACCAGTGACCAGATTTTTAAAGCAGATGGGAACAATCCTGATTATTTACCGCAATGATAGCCTAGAAACAAGTTTCTAGAAGAGACAGGCTTTGCTAACCACACTTCTTTCTACTCTCCCCATAACAGTTTGAATAATGTTTCTCCATTCAGCTGCAGAGCAAGGTGTCTGGCTCTCCTGTCACCCCTTCACAACACAAATTTGAGAACATTTGTGGACACCTTCCCATACAGCCCAACTGTGCAGATTACTGCATGGGTTAGGAATGGAGTGCTCTCCACTGCAAAGGCACACATTTTTAGGAACAGTGCAAAATTCATCAAGAGATGGTCAGTGTGATGGGGAACAGCTTTTCTTGGGACACTTTTACACCTTTACTTCACCCAACAGTGAAACAGACTCTTGAATTAAGTATGCTCGGGAGCCACACAATGAAATTTCGAACCTAAAAGAAAAAAAGTTGAAGGATATGAAGCGTAATTGCAGGTGGAGGCTGGGAGAAAGTAAATACCATTCAACTTGAAAAAATAATTTCACACGCTAGCAAACAAAAATGAAATTTATAAGAAGTTTATTGGATTGGTAAAATGTAATAAAAAAGCATTTGTGATACTTCTTCTGCAAAGAAAAAAGGCATCTGGCGATTTTGCATATTTATTTTCCCTTACAAAACATTTGAAAAGCATAACTGATAAAAAGGATAACAACTGAAAGAGCAGAGCAAAGAGGAAAATACATCTCAATATAATTGGATAATGCATAATAAAAATACAGAAAACACATGCTTAAAACAGCTTTCATTCTCTTATTGTAAAAAGTTATTTTATGTGTTGAATAAAAAATATATGCCGGTTGCTCTGAAAATTGCAGTTTAAAAGAGGTAACTAGCTGAGAACAAAATATATATATCTATATATATTTATAAATATAGAAAACGTGTATATGCTGCATCTGTCCTCAGAACAAATTGGAATAAATGATTTTCAATTCATGCACACAAGTTACCAGAGAAAAAACTTCATTTATTGCCTAGCAGATTGATCCTGTAAGGTGCTGATTGCATTTCCTGAGTGCCCTCAAAGCCCTGTGGGAGTAGTCAGTGAGGGAGACAAGTGGCCTGATGGGTTCAGTGACAAGGGAGGCTACTCAGCAGCTCACAGGAGGTGCACTCAGCAATTCACAGGAATCAGAAAAATTCCAATGGCAGCAGGATTAGGCCCCCCACAGGCTTGGGTAGTGCTTTTGCTCAGCAAGGAGTAAAAATCTGGTACCCCCAAGCTCTGACAAACAGGAGACCAGTCCTAAAAGCTCAAGTAATGTTACTTCATTAGGATCTGAGGGTATAGAGTGTGCAGCAGAAGCATTCCTCACACAGGAAGTGCTTCCTTGTGCCCCCCTGCCCAGATCCCTAGGCTAGTGATTCACATTTAAAAGGAAGATGCTTCCCATACCACTGAGAGCCTCTGTGGGCTGACACTGGACAAGGAGGAGAGTGGCCAGTCACGCTCCCTCCCAACTGCAGCAAAGGCAACAACGCAAAACCTTCTCCATCTCAAGGGCTAAACCAACAACCACCACAAAGCTGAAACACCACCTCAAACCACTGTGAATTACTGCACATCCAGGACAGATCATCCCCAGTGAACCCTCGAGCAGACAGCTCTACAACTGGCAGGGGTAGGCCAAAGCATAGCAGCTACATAGGACACATACATTCCTGGGGGCACTTCCTCCTTGCAGTCTGAAAGAGCTGAATCATTCTCCCAGCCTTTAGGGGGTTCTCCATGGGGCATGTAGCCAAGAAGAAACTTTCTGGAATGACCTATGTGTGGTTCAGATGCCCTTGTATCAGCCCACAGGTAAAGCCAGTGTGAGAGATTGGGCTCTGAAAACATGTTGTTTTGTTCTGAAAACTGACTGCAGAATTAGTACTCGGGGTCTCTCATTTGACTAACTAGAGGGAAGGCACTGGAGGCTGCTCTCCAGTCTCTCTGACTGTCCAAAGCACAGGCTGTGGCATGGGAAAGTACAGGACCATTAAGGAAGCTGATGTCTCACCAAGGCAGATCCTTTCTAGCAAGACTGAAAGAAAGTCCAGGCATTACTTGGCTCTACCCTTACCTCTACCAATACTCAGTTCTCACTCTCCAAAGAGACAGCAGAGGAGGTCACAATGGTACAGTTCAAAGCATCAAAACATCAAGTCTCTCCCTTTACTGCATTTCCAATACACCTTGCATTTCCTGTCCAATCACAGCAGACAAAAGTTTCCTATAACATTATTTTGAGGGTTGAAAATGAGAGCATATCAGCCTTTGTAATACAGTAGCACCAATCAAACTTTGGTTCACCTTCAGATTTTCTCCTCTAGCAATATATAAAAAATGAGTGATGGAGATTTTTTATAAGAGACAATATTAAGGGAATAAATTCTTCAGATATGAATGACTCTGGAGTTCTGATCAGGAAGAGATGTTTGAGGAAATACACCGAAGTATACCTCTGCTACAGAACAGCTGTCCACCAGACAACAGGGTGTGTAAAGCAAGACAAGCTGTACTGATGGGATAAGCAATTGCTTTGCTTATCCCCATGGAGAACAAATGCTCAGCATTAGCCTCTTTCTTCTCCATCACCCTCCTAGTTCCCATCCCTGCTCAGCACTAGGACTGTTTCTCTGCTGCCCATAAAGGAGCACAGCAGGTCTCTGAAAAGGCACAGAGTGAAGAAAGTGGAATACACTTTTTGTAAAGGCAGCTCTGTCAATAGCCTACTTGTTACCTTGCTGGTTGTTCTGTTGAGGTGCTTTTCAGCAGCTTAGCTACTTAGGCTATTAGAAATACTACTCTTTAGGTGGATAAAACAAAGAACTAGATCAGGCTTGGGGGACAAGGCACAAAATGTCCATTTGCCAAACTGAAATGGGTTTGCAGCCCACATAAAGCAGTTAGTAAAGCACTGGCAGATGCAAAAAAAATGCCCCAGTTTGGATTTTCAATGGGTACCATCTCAACACAGTTGAAACACAAACTACAACCTCCGGCTGTGCATTTCAGTGCAAACTGCTCTTATCTCATGCAGTCCTGAATGAAACATTAGCACAAAGGCAGCCTAATTGGAACAGGATCTTCTCCTCCTTCCCTGCAAATCCTCGTCATCCACACATTGCCATAGTTCATGGCAGAGAGAAAACGGCTGATTCTGGCAAAATACTCATACTAGGAAGGCAGGATCAAGCCCTAGGCTGGACACAGACTCACCATGGGGAGCAGCACTGGCTGTGGAGAGGATAAGGTTGACCTTGCTCCCTTAGCAGGCCTTCATCACTCCCATGCTGCAGCAGTGTGGAAAGCTGGAGCAAATGTTTGCAGAGATGCTGGGCTCTGGTTTAGTTTAGGGAACAGAGGGTGTCATTTTTCTCCTTTTTACCACCCAGGAAAATTATAAAAGCAACAAGAAACGACACTGAATGGCCATCTCCCCTTTAGTTTTGAAAACCTCTATATCAGACTGGAAAATATTCTGATTGCATTTTCTGGTTCCAAACTCTAGGTGACCTCTCCTAGACAGAGCTCCTAACTGTTTTCATTCAGTGCCCAAACCAAAGGGCTCCATGCCCTATCGGGACCAGGGCAAGACTACAACTCAACAAATGAAAAGTAAAAATAATGATACCATGAAAAAGCACATAGTCTTGATTACCAAAAATGCTGAATAAGCAAAGCTACAATGGAACAAAACCAGCAGGAGACATAGGAACAGCCATTAAAATAAAAAAACAGAGCAATTCTGCCCTTTATTTCCTTGCCACGTTTATTATTTTCACCTCTCTTTTCTCACAGATGAAGTGAGGCAGGCCAGTTCTTTTTCCTTTTCAAGCCGGCTTTGCTCTCTGGGCTGTCACGCTGCTGGCACAGCCCTGCGGAGACAGGACTTCCCGCACTTCAGGGGAATGCTGAACTGGGGCTATTTTTTAAACATCAAACTATTCCTGTTCACTGTACACTCTGCTTCCAAAAATAAAACAAGCATCCGAGTCTTTAAACAAGTAGACGGACCCTTTAAAGTCTCATAACAATGTTTTAAACCTGGGGTGGGAGGGATGGGAACGGGAATACATTTTCCTACTAATTGGAAATAATGAAACCAATGTTTGTGGATATGAAATGCTGGGTAATAACAAATCAGAGGTCTGTTGCTGAGCCCGTTCTGCCAGCCAGCCTTTGTGAGAAAAAGACAGCAAGAAAGGGTTTTCTCTTTGCATTGATGAACTTAAAATGAAAGCAAGGGCAATACATGGGAAAGAAAAAGGTAGACAGGTACAGGGCATGGAAATTATTTGCCTGGAGCAACCACAGAAGTAGGCAGAAAAATGGCAAAAATAATGTCTCCTTTTTTCCTTAGCCCTGGTTCCTAAAACTAGTTTGGGAATGAACTGGGGGAAGGGGAGGAAGGAGCAGCAATTTGAACACAGCAGATGCTCCAGTTAAACCATATCTTCTCAGAGAGGAACTGAGGGTGGGGGCAGGGGAGATGGCTATTATTAATGTCCTTCCGTATATAGCAAAGCAGACATCCTGCATAATGGCAACACAATACATCAATAATAGCCCAAGAATAGCTTCCTACCGGTTTTTTCCCCCTGACAGTTAGAAACATAAAGAGAAAAATCAAGCTGCTGAGATAAATAGCTGAGTCTCCACCCCCACCTCAAATTGCCTTGGCATATTTTAAGAGATAAATGGTTCTATGAGAAATTTAAATAGCTTTCTCTTTTCTTTTTTGGCAGCTGCAGGAACTGGGTCAGGTGTAGAAATTATTAATTTAGAAGCCTGAAAAACCCATGTTTGAAACTAAGTTTTTTTTTTTTTTTTTTCCTTTAAAGCATCAACTTTCTTAGAAGCAGAGTTACAAAAAATAAAAAATAATTGAGGGGCATTTTTTTAAGCAGAAGTCAGGTTAAAAATAATGAAATAACAGTCCAAGCTATAGAAAAGGGACAATTTGGGTAACAGTCTAATGGACATTAAAAGTATCTGTAGTATATTGTTAATGGTTTTTTTTGCAGAGTACAGTATTTGCCTAATGGCTTTCATTCCTCTTGATCAAACATAGCACTGGAGTCTGCCTTGAGGAAGAGGTCTGGGGGACACCATTCTGTAGCTTTACACAAAGTTTAGAGCATGTTTCCAAAGAGACAAGAGATTACTCCCAAAGTGACCAGCACCAAACACTCCCACAAGCAGCCCATTATTATTCTGCAGGTCTCAGAACTGACACCTCAGGGAGCTCATCTGCTTGAGGCTGTGCTCGCTGGTGAACCTGGTACTGAACCATGTGTAAATCACTGCCTTTCCCCTCCCACTCAAGTTACTCTAGCTTTCCACATTGATACCAGGATTTGTAACACAGCTTCTCTGCACGATGCCAAAAGCCACCTCCCTTCTCATGCCATATGGGGAAGGATCTCTTTGCAACCATAAAACCTTGAATCTTACAGAGAAAAAAGGTCAAATCCTGTAGGAATAGCTCTGAGCAAAGAAATGCTGATGAAATATCTCACAGGAGAGTACACTAGTTAAGACCTGTAAAAGGTTCAAATTTCCAGTGCTATAAAGAACTCTGAGGTCTTGAAAGATACCCAGTTGGCAGGCAGCCCACTTCCTCTGCTGCATGGCTGGTAAAATCCTCCTGCTCATCGTGCTCTGCTCTGTGTCCCAAGTCAGGCGGATACCTGAGAGGGAGGAGGACTCCCTCGTTCATACTCACTGCACCTCGCAGGGCTCATGGCTCGTGCTCTCCTTCCCTTAGTGACCAATCAAAAATTTAAAAAGGTGACAAAGAGCCAGATGTAAATAGAACTTCAGTGCCTAGAAAGTCAGAGCACAGATAGGATCAGAAGACAGACTGTAATTACAGGCCCTGCTACTTATTACATAGGCCAGTTGGGCTACATGAGCCTTTGGTGGAAACTTCCTGTGCAATTAATAAAGGAGAAACAGAATACTTTTGCAATCACTTTTCTAGCTTTCGCTGTGGGGGTCCAATCCTGCCATCCTGGATTAGCTCTAATCATAGACAATCTTTCTCTGCATAAAATGAAGGCATCTGTTCTGTAAGACTAAGAAAATAAAAGAAAAACGAAAAAAGGACAAAACCCTCATTGCAAACCTACACCATGCAATCAAGAAGGAAAGGAAACTGATCCTGATCCCCCCCAGATCGTAATCTGACAATGTTTTCAAGGCATCTGGCAAAAAGGAAGAAGAAAGAAGAATGCTATGAAATATTTAAAATCCTACTTCTGTCAAGAATACATGAGAGAAGAAAGGTGAGTTTGAAAGGGCTGCATTATTTGTAAAGTAAAACCTGAAAGCACCACCTTTTGCATAGAGGCATGAGGTGCCCTTGGCCTGAGCCAGAGCGGTCCTGAGAACAAATACCAGGCACTGATTCAGCAGGGACTGGTGTGACAGTCCAGGCTGGGTGCAGGAGGGACCCAAGTGCTGTCCTGCAACACCCTGGGATGTACCACGGGATGTGGAGGCTAAGGACATGTGTTGCTATTACAGCAAAACAGCTGTGCCTTTACAGCCAGCAACTGATCCTCCTCAGCCAAAGCTTGAATCAGATTTTCAAGAGCATGAGAAATGGAGCATCCCCAGGGGAGGATTTCTCCTAAAGGCACTTTTTTTACTGCTGAGATTCTCACCAAAGAGACTTCCAAGGAAGGGGAGACTGCCCTGTGAGATCTGAGATGCATCAAATGACACTTTGCTTTGCTCTTGCACCCAAGATATTTTCCAATCTCAGAACCCCACTGGTATAGAGCACCTTTGCAGAAAGATCTCAAAGTGGGCCTGACCACTGGACTGATCCCAACCCCATCTCAAGAAGCAGGCACAGAAAAGGGCTGGATGTGCCCAGCTGTCATAAGGAGGAAGCCCCCAAGCAGATATTCAGGAGTTCCAATGCTCAGCTGAGCCTTTTTCTTGGTCACAGCCACGTGCCTGCTGTACAGTCTCAGTAGAAACCATAACAGATTTCAGGACTGGCACTGGGCATACAAATGGGACCAAAATGATCCTGAAATGCTGAAACAAAAGACACTTTGGAACAAAACTGGCACAGCCACAATCCCCACAATGCTTGTGTAAGATAGAAAGAAAGAATCCCTAGAATGTATTTATCAAAAGCTATTTTATGCAGATTTTTCCTTTTGAATATTTAAAACATGGTGAATATTAAACTTCAGAGATTCTTAATATGTTCCAAAGCCCCACGGACCTTTGAAATGCTAGCTCATCAATATGCAACATCTAATCTTGTCAGGAAAAGAAAAAGAGGGGGAAAAAGAAAAGCTATTCATCCTCTGCACACAGAGGTTACAGTGAGAATCCCAAGGAAAATAAAAAAAACAACCAACTTCCAGCATCTTATGCAATAGGTTAAATTTACTCTGGTTGGGAAAGTTTCACTTTCTGCAAGAGAGAAAGTGCCTGTACGTGCACAGCCATTGGAAGCTTCTTCTGAAGTGTGAGGCTGAAACTGTGTAGCTGGATTACAGTAAGTAGTTTATTAAAAAAAACAAGGCTTGTGGCTTTGCATCCTGTTCCAGTCCAATGCAGTCTCAGGATCCCCTCTCCAAAGGCCAGCAGACAGTGCGCCACCTAAAAATCCATTCTAGTCCAAAATGCTGTGGTTGAAATGGTTTTGCTTGTTTATAAAGTTTAGTGTTTCGTATCGCTTGCATCTGACCTTCAGCAGAAAGAAAAGCTCAGTTAAATTGTGCAAATATGTACCAAATGGGAGCAAGGGAAGGCAGCCAAAAATGCTGCATGAGCTTTTGCAGGGCTGCAGCCTTTTAGGAGCACCAGTTAGATGAACTGGATGAGAGGCCAAATTGATTTAGGCTCCAGGCAGGAGCTTAAAACACCATGACATCCAAATTCACAAAGAAAATGTTCTGTTACTGCAACCCCAAATTTCCTGCACATGAAAACACTGTTTTCTTTCATCTTTAGGAGATGCTAGTTCTGTAATCCGACATTTAAAAATGAACAAACAAACAGGAGTCAGCTGACAAAGGATTCTTGCTGGTGAATGGAAGTAGGTCACTCTGAGTATTTAGCCTTTACAGTCTGGCTTAATATTAGTGTTGTACACAGAGCAGTAACCAAACTGCACTGGAGACAGGGAAAGACTCTAATTTTGTCTTTTCTGTGAAAATTAGCATTAATGTTCTGCATTAATGTGCAATGCCTCCCCAGCAGCCGATATCTGGTTAATTAAAAGAAAAACCACAACCACAAAGCAAACCACACACTAAATTAAACAACAACAACAAAAAACCCTTACTGGTCAGCCTGCATTTAAAGACATCTCAGTATGAGTAATTGGGGAGAGAGGAATTTTCCTGAAGGAACATAAAAGAAAATGAAAGCTTTACATACAACACCAAATAAAATCTTCTGTCTCTCACGAATGCAAATTCTGGCTGCCCTTTTATACAAACATATTAAAAGAATATAACTGGAGGAAAAAATAAAGAGGAAAAGCTAATAAAATCATTTTTGAGGAAAAAAAATATTTAAAAAACAAACTATCCTTCAAATATATTTCTTCATGGTAAATCCCTGCAATCATGTGGTTCTAAATTACATGGTTAAATATGACTGAAAAAGTAAGGCACAATTTCATAATCATTTAAAAAGCAATAATTATAACAATTTTCTTTGATATCCATATGGCAGGCCACTGATACTAAGGACACACAAAACTGCTTGATTAAAGATCTGAAGAAGTTTTTCCAACTACTAGCTAAGGCTCACAATACCTCGGTGAAGTAAGTAAGAAACCATCTTTACTGCAAAGATGAGTGCACACTGAGGACATGGAAAAAGTGGGTAAGAGGGTGGCTTGTGGACAACGGGAGGCAGAGGCAGAAAAGCAGAGACACCCCAAGTGTGGTGTTCCTGGGGAGTGACTCTAACCCCTGGAATTGTAAAGGTAATGCCACCACTGGGGCTTCTGTTTCCTTCTTCATTTTCTAAAATACCTAGGTAGGATGAGAATACTGGACAAATAGCAAAGTTTAAAAAAAAAAAAAAGAGTTTTAACTGGATGTCCTTGCTACCCGTGATAAACCCTGTGCTTCCACACATTACATGAAGCCAAAGAGACCAGGGACATGTAGTCAGGAATAAAGCCCAGTGGAGTATAAGAAGCAACAGTCATCAATATTGCAGCCTGTATTTCTACTCAGCTACAGCCCCACAAACACATGACATGTGTGTGTCTGTATGCCAGACTGCTCTGCAAGGGTGGAACTTAGATTTTTTCACACTACAGCAGAAAATTTCCAGGCTAAAGTGAGAGCTCAATGTCCACCAGGAAACCTACTGAGGTTACGTTTTTTCTCTTAGATTTTTAGATGCTGGGTGAATGTTATCATTTCACAGGTGTAAAGTCTGTTCTCTATCAGGCTCCAAATGCCAGTTGGGAAACCAACTGTTGCAAATAAAAAGTTGAAATGCTGAGGAAGACAGGTAATATTTCTAGAAATGTTTAAGGAAAAATACCATTCCCAAGCCCAGAAAGGAGATGAAGTTCAATCAGTATCTCTTGATTTTCATGGCAGTTGCCATAATGAGCTTATAGTCTTCAGTAATTTCAGGGGGAAAAGCCAAACAGAAAGAGACCTCAAGATAAAAACAAATAAGAAATTTGAAGTTGCCACAGAAAAAGATACTGGCAGTCCCTATAGCCAGCCACTCCATGGCTTTAAGATGGGTAAGAAAAATGAATCCAATAGAAGTAACACTGTTATTTACTTGGATTATTCTAACAAAGGAAACAGTGACTTCAAAATCAGCAAAACTAGTTAAAAATTGGGAAAAAATATTTTGTGAAAACTTTCAAAGCTTTTTTTATTTCTCCAGGTCCAATACTGAACCATTTCCCAAGAACATTTGCTTGGTTTTAATAGAATTTTTATCCAAAGAAATTTTCAAAATGGTAACAGAAACTTTAATCTGCCAGTAGAAGAAACCCAAGAACTACAAAAAACTGTGAAAGACAACATGGATCTTTGAGAAATAAAAATATTTGTTAGCAATTCTGAAATTTATTTAGATAAAAATTCAGTATAATTTTAATCATAACAGCAAAAACGACCCCCTGAAAATGTTGTGGGTAACATTGCAAAGAGACCTTCTCATTAAAAAATGGCCCTTCTGGTATCACGTAATTTAGAGTAAAAATTGCAACCAGATTTAAGTGGAAATAGTGTTCTCACAGCTTTCTTGGTCTGTATTTTACTAACCTGTAGGTTATGAAGCCGTTCCTGCCCTCCTTCCACAACAAACCCTCAGTTACCATTGCTGGTGTTTTCTCGTGGGAATTTCACCACCATGGGATGGTTCAACACCTCCTCTCCAACAGTCCCAGCTTGCAGTACTGAACCTGTGTGAGGTGTTGTCCACCCAGGCTGCTGAACAAACAGCAAATCAACACTGTGCCCCAACTGCAGGAACCAGACACCAACAGACACCAGTCAGCAACTCAAACCCTTTTGGAGCCACTCAGCACAAGCACCATGTGTCTATCCTTGACACAGGATTTCTCTCAAGAACCTTCTCTTGGGTCCTGTTATCCCTTGCCTTCCAGACTTTCTCAAAATCAAAAGGAACCAGCATTTATCAATACTGATAAATGCTGATAAAACCTGACTAAGCCAGGCTTGAGTTAACCACAGCCAGGCAGCAGCCATAACAGGTCCAAAGAGATTTCAGACAGACTTGTCATGTGTTCTCTTTAACAACCACCATTTCTTTAAAGACACTTTTTTCTCATTCTTCTCAGGCACATTTTGCTGATAGGCAGAAAATCAACTTAAGGCCTGTGTTTTGTGAAAGTCTCGCTCCTGCTATCAGGATGAACACGGTTATGTAGAGTGACAAACACTTCGGTACTCCCACACCTCTATGATTAAGTCATTACCCAAGTGTTTTGCAGCCATGATAAAAATCTAAGAATTAAAATATTAACACCCCTCCCAAAACCAAAATTAAAGGCTTGTTATCTGATAGGCTAAAGAATTGATGTGGCTTTCTGTTTTTAAAAGCAATGTTCAGTGAATAAAGTAAGTGACAATAAAACCATCACATTCACAAAATGCTAGTGTTAGCCTTGGGGATATGCTTAAGGATTGGGCTGTAACCAAGGCAACCCAGTCTCCTGGAGAAAGTTTAAGTAGACAGTTTTAAAGCCATTGCTCAAAGATACAGTAAATCTGGCTGTAGGGCTACTTGTGACATATGGAAGGTGCCACAGCCACCCAACACAAAGCACTCACCTTGTAACAACTCAGCCTCCTGTCATCTAAATGCTACATTTGATCAGCTGTGGTATTTTCCTACAGTTGGCATAAGGGTGACACAGGAGCCATTTCCTGTGCTCTGGGTAATTTGATAGAAATTTGACTGTGCCCACATCCTACCCAGATCAAACCTGTATGATCAGGGGATAAAGAACCAGTCTGGTATTAATGGCTTATGTCACACCATGCAATGGTTTTAAGTCCGTGCTTAAACAAACCCCAGGGACTTAAATATTTTGCTAAATTAGAACCTGATCCTGGGCCCTGTCTGGCCACACAAATCATGGGATCAGGCCCTACTTGCCAAAAAATGCTAGACAAAGACAAAGCAGCATAAGCAGAAACTGCAGACTTGAACAGAAATGTTTGTGTGATCTTCCAACTCTTTCTGAAAGGAACAGTTTGGACGTTACCACAGCCAGATGATGTGAATTTTTGTCATGGCTAAGAAGGTCCAACTTTGAAAAACCAAGGTCTCTTTGGCAAAAAGACTCCTTCTTTGGAAGAGATAAACATGATATATTATAAATATGTGATAAATATTGTGATGAAGCCATATCCCAGTGGTTCTTAATTGCAGTGCAATTGAGATAAATCCCACCAGCATTTCCTAATTAAATCCTGAAGCATCAGCAGAGAGATTACCATATACATGTGGATGATGAGAGCCTCTGTGATGTATATACAACATCTTTCAAATATATTTATAGCTATTTTGAAAAATAAAGCCCCACAGAATAAAGACGAGGCTTTTGGACACTCACTCCTTCCAGGCAGATGGCTTTGGTGTCTAGGGGTGAAAAAAACCCCATCACAGTACCTTTGCACAGATGTGTCAGGTCTAGAAACCAGTCACAGCACCTCAAACATCAATACTGTTCAATCTTTGTCAATCCTATTTCATCCATAAAGTATTTAATACTTCAAAAGTTTGGCTCTCACCTCCCTGCATGCCAGCCCAACTCACCACAGCACTCTCATAACAGAGAGGATTCAGAGCTGGATCTCCTGGCCACATGCATTGAAATGAGCTGGAATCCCAGGCCTACATACCAGCAAACTTTTCTGGAAAGAGAAAATAGAGCACCAGAAATCAGTAGTTTGGGCTAGTCTGTGATTAGTTTAATCCCCATAATGTCTCTGGGAAACTGCAAAGAAGCTCTCTCATGCAGAGGGCAGAAAACAAGGAGTGATATGACTCACTCCAGTTCAGCCTGTGGCAGGGCTGTAAAAAGCCCAAAGGCTCTGAACTTGGGTCCTCTCCTTAGTCTAGGCCACATTCTGTGCTGGAAGGCACAGCTGCTTCAAAGGTTGCCATCAATTGCCCCAGTGTTATTCAGAGAGTCTCATCAGTCACTTGATTTAACACTCACAAGAGTAAGGAAGGCCAGAGCTACATTTTCTGCCTGCTGAACGGCTCATTCTGCACCCCAGTGCATCGCATTATCACCTGTGCTTGTATCCCAGCACTGACCTCCCTTGTTTTTGTAGGGTTAGTTCAAACTAGATTTGCTCAGTATTTGCAAGGTTTTTGGACTGGTGGTGGCACAGACTGCTTGTCAAGAAACGAGCTCAGAAGGACCTTACATGCCACGGTTCAGGGAGCAGGAGCCCAGGTGGAACCTGGTGGGAGCCAAGGTGCCAAAAAATCTGTTTATGTCTGAGGCAGCAACATTCTTGCTGGCCAGGGTAGAAATCCAGTATAAAAAGTCAAACTGCTTCAGCACAGCCTCTATGGTGGTGAAGGAAAACTCTTCTGCTCAATGATGCCACCCTTCTACAAAGACGGATTCATTTCAAGCTGTTAATTTTGGGAAACTTCCCTGACTGGCGAAGTTTGCCAACATATAAACCATGTAAGGAATGGAGGTTTCAGACTGGTATTTCTGCATTTGAATTTACCACAGACAGCTGAAGCTACTATCACAGTGCTCTTCCAGAAAGGTTAGTGCTAAAGTGAAAGGAAGTGCACCATTTGCAGGAGCTGCAGTATCACATCACAATTTTTCCTTTGTTTCCTATCAGTTCAGCTCATCTAACTTTTCAGCATTAGTGGATGTAATTATTCTCTGTAACAGAAACCTGATACAAAAAGGAAATCACCACATTCTTATTGTTTTTCAGTGGGATGCATGAATAAAAATCTTATAACTTACTCTTGAAAAGTGCCAGTTTGTCACTTATATGGTCAATCAGACTGCAACTATTTCAATTCTGCTTCTTAATTTAAGTGCAAAGAAAGGTATTTTCCTTGATTACATCTGCAAATAAGATATTAATGTCAATTCAGTGATATGAAAATTACTCCCTCACTATGTAATTTGCACCTTAGTTATTACGGGTTTCATGAACAAGACTATTATAGCTGCTCAGAATGCCATAGATTTTAAAGTTTTTGATTTGTTTTTAATTAACCAAACTAAAAAAAAATAAAACAAAAAACCCATACCCACATTCATGTGAAAAAAAATTATTTCCTATGCCCAGGTTTTATTTACCTTGGCCTGTATATTAATTCTGGACTGAAGATGAAAATGCTATTGCTGGCCCAGCACTCTACTGCCATGAATTTCACCAGAGGCAAGTTATAAGTGGCTGGGATGAAAATGGAAGAAGAAAAAAAATATGCCTGCTTTCTGGAAAGGCATAGTGAAGGGCTTAATACTTTCTTTAGCTTTCTTAGGATGAAAACTGAACATGTATTTAGGAGGATCTTTTTTGCTGCTGTTGAAACAAGATCTGATTTTTTTTTATTGAAAAATACAGAACACATGTGTTAACATCAAAGAAATGTTTATCATCCCAAAGCCTGATTCAATCCCTGTTACTGTTGAAGAAAAATCCTCCCATTGCAATAACAGGAGATGGAGTAAGACTTTATTGCTTGAATGTCTACCCAGAGACCAACATTGCCAGTGGTCCCACTCGAATGGGCTGTATGAGAGTGGCGTAAGATTTTTTTGAGCATCGCTTTGCACTGCAGTTCTGTGTAGTCATTTTCATCTTTTTTTTAACCACTGGGATTTTAGAAATGTATTTCCAGCCCCACATCCCTTAAAGATCTGCTCAATGGACATGACTGGCTTATGCCTCTGGTAAATCAAAAGCATGTTTTGTGTGTAGTGTGTAGTGAGTATGTAGTGCACCGTGTGTGCAAGCTCACATCTTTCTGTGATTTCTCATACATTGTGAATTGGAAGCATCACTACTGAATAAATTTATGCAATAGCTAAGTAGACTTTCATGAGTAAAAGAAAAATCCTATTGAACTGGAAGGGAGTGGAGACAAGTAAGGGCCTAAGAAATAACTCATCTGTCCCAAGGATACAAGATCACACCTACACTCAGGTGCAGTACAGTTGCAGTTGCACTGTTTGTGTTAATGCTGGGTCTGCTCTCCTTCTAGGACAGTGGAGCTACTTCTGCTGGTGATACAGATCCTATTAAAATCACCAGCAGACATTGATGTCCCATGACTTCAATGAGAGCTGGTCAGGTTCTCAGAATACATTGGCAGGAACCTCAGCCATCTTTCACCCTCTACCTTCATGTACTTCTTAAGAAACAGGAATCAAACACAGAAACATAGTAAGGACCATGTTCAGACTCCTACAGGCAGATAACTTAGGTGCTGTGACCCTTAACTCCATCAGCTGCAGAGAGAGCAGCTGCTCTACCTCACTCACTGCCCTCCTGAACGCTTGTGTCTAAATTAGGTGCCTGTCGTGGGCAGTCTGAACATGGCCTCTCAAACTGCCCTCTTGTTCCAAGGCCTTCCAGTTTTACTTTTTTTTTTTTTTTTTTTTTTTTTTTTTAAGTGTCAGAGTTTCAGACCCTAGGCTGGAAAGAAATCATGCAAAGCTTGTGCAATATCCCCCAATGGGCATCCTGGGGAGGGTCACAGTTGATCCTCAGAGATCAGTGCTGGCCTTGGCAGTCAGAGCCTGGATCCGAGCAGAGTTGCAGGTCTTGCAAAGGATGTGCCCGTCCAGAGGGTAACAGCCCTGATTGTCCCCTTCAGACAGGAGGCCACCACAGTCCTAGGAAATAAGAGAACAGGAAGAGAAAAGTAAATAAGAAAGAGCAAGATAAAGCAAAGAATCTATTAGTCAAAGAAACTCTCTCCTCACTCTCCACCTTGTAACAGGATCCAGCCTGAATCAGCGCAAAGCATGAAGCTGAGGTACGTGATGTCTTTTACGATTAAGCCATTTTCTGATAAGAGACAATGCTGCAGAGAAGATGGGTTCCCAAGCTCTCTGCTGAATTTAATCCAATTGAAAATAAAAGGAGATTATTCCTTTCACATTTCTGAGGAAGCAAAAGTCTTTACCATTGGAGAAACATCAAACTGAAGTACATATTTATTAATTCAAAAAAAGATAAAAATGAAGCACCACTGGGAAAAAGTTTAGTACCAATATCTGACTATAGGTAATCTCCTTTGGAACAGTTAGTGCCATGAAGTTACAGCCTCCATTCCAGGGGTGGCAACTAAGCAAAATCTCTGCCTGTCTCCCATTACCAGAACTGTCACCTGTGTGTGTATTACAATTGGCCAAAAAGGTTGTGACAAAAAGAAGGATGTCAGACAGGAACATGGAAACCCCACTACAAGGCCCCCAGACCTGCTGCACAGACCTCAGCCTATAAGCTTTAAAGCTGAGTATAGCTGCTAGAAAAGTTGGGAACTACCTCTCACTGTGTGATCAAGCAATCATTTGGCCCAGGACTGCTGATGGATCCATGTGTGTGAAAGCCTGGGTATCTCAGCAGCCAGCATGGGGACATGCTGTATGATGAATTAGACTCTACAAAATTTAATGTAAGAATTCCCCAGAATCTTAAAAAATAATGGGCCTAAGTAATGGGCTGATATGTACCCTGAAAGCCAAGGTCAGATTGAGAATTGAACCAGATGCCTCAAGTTTTGGCCTAGACCTTTAAACCTTAGTCCATCCTTCTTTCCAATTAAGGTTCTTAAAACCTGCAACTGCAATAAGAAATATATTTGGTCTCATTTTCTTACCCTGCCATCTGGCTGATGTATTATCCAACAAGTAACACTAGCACTGAAGAATTCTTGAAGGTTCCCTAACACAGCTGTTCCCATATGCTAATTGCTTTAAGGTGATTTTTATTCTCTGTCTTCAGATTCTTACCATCAAAATTACATGAAGTGTGTAATGAAACTGAACAGGAAAAGTAGCACAAAAAGCATTGCACAAAACAAGAATGATCATGTTTATGTGTCCATTAAAATTCTTCAACCCAGAGCCATATGCTGAGTTTCCTGTACAATCTTGCTTAAATCCTAACATGCATTAGCTTTCATTTTAAGAACATAAAGATGAGCTACATTTGTGTCCAGGCTATAATTTATGAAGTTCTCAAGTATTAAGCCCTAATTGCCTGAGTCACATTCTTTTGCTCTTCTAATGAACCTGTTATAAACAAGGGACCTGATTTTCCTCTCAATTGCGTGGATATAAATGAGGGAAAATTCCTTGCTTGCTGAAGTCAATGAAGTAATTTGATTGTAGAGCCAGTGTTACAAAAGGGTATGCCTGTTGTGTGAGCAACATGAGGTGGTGATGAAGTTAAGCCAACCCTTGCTTTCTGTCCCTGCCATGACAGGAATACCAACCTCGCACCGGTAGCACTGGACATGGAAGTCGCGATCCAGGGCAACAATGCGCACGGTCTCCTCTTGTCCCGGGGCTGGCATGATGGGCTCCTTACACACAGAACACCTTGGGGCAAATTTCCTGAGGAAGCAAGAGACAGTCATCCTCAAACTTTTTGTTAACTGGGCCATTTGTACAAATGCCTTCGTGTACATTTGTACCAACACACACACACGTATGTGCATGCACAACACACACTGGAGCTCTGCACAGCTCCCTCCTTGAAAAAAACCAGGCAGAAACACTTTAGTCTTACAAGGCAATTTCAGGCATGTAGGATATTAAAGAACATTTATTAGGAGAGGACTTACAGAACTTCTGACACACAGCAAAGCTTTTTGCCTGCCCTAATTAACAACTAAAGTGCCTGTTGAATGACCTTCGACTGTGGCACCTATGCAGTGCCACAACCCTCAAGCCTCTGAGAAAATCCATGCAAATCCCAAGGTTAGAAAGATGACCAGGATCTGCTTTCTCTTGAAAACAAAAATCAAACTATTAAAATTTGGAGATTGGAAGAAATAGTTTAAAAGTATGAAAAGAAATGGTAAAAAGAATTGCCTTGTGCTAACACGAATTTGTTGTGGTTTATACCATCCACTTTGAAGTTCCAAGCCATCGTACCCTCTTATGCACACAGGAGCACATTTCTGGCTGTGCTCACTCTTAGACAAGAAGCATCAGGGCAATTCTGAATTGCTGCATTTTCTAGCTAAAACCAACTGTTATACAACAGGGTGTTGTCCAGGCTTAAAAGGGAACAGGTCTGGGTGCAGGGACCCCAATGTTCTCTCTTCCAGTCAGCCTTCCAAATGTATAGTGACAATAACTCACTGCATGAAGAGACTGACTTGAGTCAGGGTCAGCTCAGGCATCAAGAGAAGCCCTTTCTTTTTCCCTTCTATTGCTCACCATAGGACCTTCTGGATAATTCACCCATGTTCTGTGTTCCCTCTGGTTTTGCTCCCCTCAGGTCCCATGAGAAGTGGCCATCTCTCCTCCTAGGCTTGGGAACATTTAGCCTGTGGTGAATCATTATCTGCTGTTTTCTTTCAAAACCTACTGGTGCCAGTTTCCTGGCTGCAAATTCTGCCTACAAAAAAGGAAACACCCACAGAATCTGCTGCCATGTAATGAGAGCCAGGGTCAGGGGCTGTGGAGTGACAGAGGGCAAAGCTTATAGCAAACATCAGAACACAAGGAGATCAAAGCCCCTTCTCTCCTGAAACGCCTAGTAAGGATTGACTCTGCCACCCAGCCTGTCACATGAACCACCTCAGAATTAACTATCATAGAAAAGAAAAAAAAATAAAATCTATCTGTGCCAGGAATAAAGAAAAATATTAATTTCACTGGCAGCAGATGAAAGATGCCTGTGTAGCTGTGATCTAATGAAAGAATGAATTAAACAGTGGCTATAACGAGTGCTCTGAAAAATAACCTAAATGGATCATGATATGACCGGAGCTGTGATGGCAATTAATTATGTGCAGCTTCATGCAGGCCCTTCCTTGTGCCATTTAGCTCAAATGGTACTTAAAAAATACTTCAACATTTCTTTGTCCAGGCTACTGTGAGTAATTCATTATGAGACAAATATTATCTCCCAGGATCCTGAGATCATTCCTTCAGATTTCAGGGGATGTAGATCTGTTACTGTGGGGCCTGAATTCAGGGGGTAGCTGAGTGACAGTGTGAGCATCAGCTATGGTTTTGTTATCAAGAGGATGTAGATGTAGAACACTCAACCTCCAGATCAGGAGGACATGTCATCCCTAATCCATTAAAACAGGGCTGGCCAAAGTACTGCAAAATGTGTGGTTCTGAATGTCACATTGGGTCTTGTGCTATTCCCATCACCTTCCCTTCTTTAGGCATCACCCTCAATCCTTCACTCAACAATTTTCATGTCCTTCCTTGCATTGACAGCCTCCCACTTTCCACTCTCAGAGCCCTGAGGTCTGAATGCAGCCACTGCCAAGAGGCTTCAATGTGGGACATCAGCTCTCTTTCTCCTGAAAGCATGTGAGCCCTTGGTCTGTGGGGCTTTGGGAAGGGGCACTCTCCACATTGTTGAGGGGGTGTGAGGGAAACCCTTCAGGTGCCTGAATGGTGCATAAAACTCCTGTTGGGCCAGTGCTCAGGACCACATTTTACCTTACACACAACTGGTAGCACAGGAAGGGAAAGCAACACAGCAGCTGCCAATTAACCCAGCCTAGCTGAGCTACAGGGAACATCCTCCTGTTGGATTCTAACATGCCAGTTAATTGTGGCTGCTTCCCTTTCTGTCAAGTCAGCCAGCTTCTTTGAGCTTTCAGACGCACACACTGATGTCATGAGGCTCTAATTAAGTCTACCCCCTTAGAAATTAAGAGGTAGATGGTTGAGATGTAAACTCACATTTGTCAGTATTGATTTCATCTTTTAATTGAGGGGTGTAATGTATCTGTCTTTTCCATACAGGGCAAACATTTGTGCTCTGATTATATCTACCTGTCTTCCCTAGATTAGTTGTGATGATGGGGGTGGTAGCGTGTCAGTGACAGAAATTACTTGCAGCTATACCTTTCAACTTACTTTAAATAGCAGTTTCACTATAAATTATTACCAGGGCTGTATTTTTAGTAGCTTAAAAAAGCTAATTAGCAACTAGAAACAAAAGGAGCTCTGAGCAGCCTGTGGCCACTGAGATCCCTCTAGGAGGTAAGCAAACACCTGCAGAGTGCAGGAGGACAGGACCTCTCTTAATTGCTCAGTGGAAGAAGCAAGGAGCTGGTGATGTGAAAGTGCAGGTAGAGGCAGTGAAGAGAAACATGCACAGTGAAAGGCAAAGGGAAGGCAGAGCACTTAAAACAGAGGGACACAGAGGTTATCCCTCAATTCAGCTCTAAGCAAAACAGAGATCAAGCAGAATCGTCCCATAACCAATTAACCTTGTATGCCACGGTGTGCCTGCCTGGAGCAAAGCTCTCTCTACTGTTTAAGAGGCTTGGGAGGAAGTGGCATAGCGTTCAGAACTTCCTGAAAGCTCAGTCTGAAAAAGGAGAATTTTTAGGGCCAAAAAACAAAGACAACAAGCAAAGCACTGACAGCAGCTTAGGCCTTACTTATGGAAATCCTCAATGCAGTGGATGTTGCCACCAGCATCCACAGTGAAGGGGATCCCGTCCAGGCTGCGATGGCACATCACACAGGTGAAGCAGTGGGGATGGTAGGCCTTCCCAGTGGCTCGGAGGATCCTCTCCATGATGGGCTTTGCGCAGACGCTGCATTGCTCCAGAGTTTTCTGCAAAGAAAACATACACAACAGATGTGAGCACCATCTCAGCAGGACACTTACAAAGGCCAGCTGGGTTGCAGGCTGCTGCTGGTCAGCTTGGAAGCTTCAGGTACTTTCATTTCTTCTAGATAAAGTGCAGTCAACAGTTATCAAAGAGTATGATAACAGCACAGGGCCTGGGTCAAGCCTTTAGAGCAGCGCGAGAACACAAGCCAGAGCCTTCTCTCAGCAGCTCTGACAAGTGATCAGAGATGGTTCATCAGGTGGGTTATCTGAGACACAGCAGCCTCTGTAGCCAGGAGCACGTGAAGGAAGGAGTTGTGCAGCCAGTACTCCTGAGCTTTTACCTCTGGACTGCCCAGTCCGAGTGAGCTTTTGCAGAGTTCATTAGAGACAAGTTCCACAGAGGGCAGTGCTAAACTGAAGTGCAAACTCCTGGGGCTACAGAGAGACCCTCTAATTACTTTGCCAATGCAGATCCCATTAAAATATCTTTATCTGCCTTGTGGAAAAATCTTGATCTTCCTCTCTCACCACAGAGAATACTGCTAAATCTGGGGAGAGAACAAAGCAGTGGCTGCAAGGAAAGCATCCACAAGGACAGGAGTTCAGGATGACTTAAATGCTTCATTTATCTCTGGCCCATGATGTTTGAGATAATGACTGTGAAATTCCAGCTCTAAGGCCATGATCCTTGCTGCACAGGTTTTACATACTAGCCTGCTCCTAAAGTGCTGCAGCCAAAAAAATTCCCACTTTTCAAGTGGGGTCCATTGAATGATTCATCTCATTTCAACCCTCACTCACCCTTGCAGTTAATTATAGAAACACCAAGATAATTCTGTTTCAGATGGTTGTCTGTGAGCCACACCAGCCCTTCTGACACCAGCTGGATAACTAACCATTTCAAAGCAAGCACTTTTTAAAAGACACATGCCATGAATGGAGGATCCAAACCACATAGATACAAGCAATAAATCTGTGGCAATGATTTGGGTAATTTCACTGGACTTTAGAAAAGCAAACTTTACCTACTATTCTTGCTTGATGCACCTGAAGTTATCAACCAGCATTTGTATTTTGGGTGAGGTAGAAAAATCTGTCATTACACTATTGATTATTATTTAGATAGACAGAAATAGGGAGGTGAGAAAAAAAAAAGAAAATATCTAACAGGACAGAAATATAGAAAGCATTTGAAAGGCAGATCTTGTTAGCAAACAAAGGAAGGCTAAAGTTCTGCTTCCTCATGCAACAAAATTCCCAGGGAAAGCAGTGCTTTGACTGACTGTATTATTATTATTGCTTCTCTGAGCCAGTATTCTCGGGGGCAAGATCCAGTCCTTACATGCAACCAAAAGGTATTGTAAGGAGATGAATCACCCAGGAGCTCAGAAGGTTCTACACTTGCACATTTGCTCTCAGACATTATCTCTGGGCTGCATGTCAGTGGTAAGGTACAAACACAGAAATACAAGAGTTCCTATCAGAGGATCAGAAGCACTGGTTTTGGAAAGGTCGATATGAAAAGTCCTGAATTTCAACCCGTATGAGAACTGCCTCACACATTTGTAAGGGGAGCACAGCCAGAATAGCATTGAACTCAGGCTGGATTTTGCTTTATATCTTATAATAATGGGCAGGAAAGAATGACTGCTGGCCTTTCTGTCTGGTTGCTGTCACCATCATCATCATTATAACTGTGGCTGGTATGCCAGAAAAAGCAAGGTCAATAATTTTCTCCATGGAGAAATAACCTGGCAGATTTACCATTTTGCTTTGCATAAGCAGATCACATCATCTCAGTCCGCATCCATGTGGCTCTCTGTGTTTTTCTGCCAAGGAGGGAAGGCAGGATACCTGGGGATACGGATGGAAGACTGTGCCATTCATAAGGCATTTGCTATGAAACTTTCTGAACACACTCAGGTATGGAGCATTTGCCTCACCAAGTCACTGCTTGCCTCATTTCCAACAGTTGCCAACAACAGAGGCCAAAGTATGACAACAGGGTAAGCAAAACACAGAAATTCCTTGGGATTTGCTTCCAGTCTCCACTGATTACTGGTTTAGGGACTTCCTGAGTCAGAGCTTGGCTTCCCCATACTTTACCTCAAGTAGATGCTTCTCCCATAAACTTTCCTGATTGATTTTTGAATTGTGATAAACACTGATCCTCCACAACATGACCGGGAATTCTGTGGCTTACTTCCACGCTGGAGACTGGTCTGTTCAGCAGTTCTCCATGTCTGCTACTGCAGCCCACCAAGGACTGTGACCAGAGCAGGCACCTGCAGCAGCAATCCATGCTGCAGAGGGGTCTAGCACCAAACAGCACGGCCTGGAATGGCTCTCACCATGCATCCAATCAAACTCCTGCTCACACATGTCGGGGACACAGAGTTTAAGCCCACGAGGGATCAGTACAACCATCCTGTCTGACATTCCATGTTAACACTGATTTTGCTGGAAACTGCAGTTGCCAGGACAGCAGGCAATCACCCTGCTGGATCATACCTTCTGAAAACACATCTTCTGCTCCCAAATCTCAGCTCAGTCACAGTTGGACATTCTCACAGCTAAGTAAGACAAGCATTATAAATTAACTAACTCCTGATTAAACTTTCTATACAACCTGAAAATCAGACCTGAGAAATTTATTCTTTTTATCCTTCCAAGTCTGTACCAGTAAGGAAAAACAAAGTCATTAGTTTCAGACTCCAGCTCACTCCCTGTCTGGGAGTGTGTTTGCTTAAGCCTCTCTCCTTGCTAGAACCCTGGCTGGCTCAAACCCTTCTCTTCAAGGTGTTACCAGATGATGCCAAAGGGAAAGCTTCCTTGATTCACACCCATTTGACATCAGGTTGCTGTAAGGCAGGATTTGGCCTGTGAAGCTACCAGGGTTTTCTTTGATTCTCTAATCAGGTTATCCCACATGCCTAAGTGCTGCCCCAGCAGCTAACAACCTGCACAAAGGTATTTCTGCACATTATGGGAACAGCATCCCTACAGGATTTTAAGTTTAGCTTCTTGATTTTGCTCTTTTACAGTTAGTCTAACTCTCCTAGCACCTCCTGGAGCTTTCAGACCTTCAAAAAGCCAAACAAGATGAAGAAAAATGCCTAACTGGTCTATTTTCCTTCTTTTCTCTCCAGCTGTTGCAAGCCTGCTCTGTAATCAACAGGTAGAGCTGAATGCGTCTGATGAGTTACACTGAGAGCCAAGGCAAGGCACACAGAAGGAAGATGAGAAACAGCTAGGAAACATCAGACTTAGGGGTTGTGGCCACATTCATGTCATAAGAATATAGACCACAAATCTAGTGTGGGCTGAGGGTAAAATTTACCATTCTTTTCCCATATTTTTTGCCAACAGGCAGGGAGTGCCCTTGTGTCTCCAAATCCAAGTAATTTTTGGGGGGTTTGAAAAGCACAGGGAAGGAACCATCCATTTCTAAATAGAAGGTTGGCACAGTGTTTAAGGCTGAGCCTGGGTCCATGTCTCTTGAGGGCAGAACATCCATGGCAAAGAAAAAAGAATCTCACATGGGGAGAATAATGCACCCTAAATAACCTAAGTAATAAGAAAAATAACCCCAAGCAAAGATACACTAAAACACAAAGAAAGGACTATAATGACCAGGACATCATGAATCATCTTGCAAGTTAAAATTAAGAGACTTAAACATGTATAGCACAATCAGAATCCAAGTGAGAACAAGCTGCTTGGAAGCAAGCATCAAGTGGTGGTTGGAGTTGACCTCCCTAGAGCAATACTTGTCCCTTCAGAAACCACAGAAAGCCAAAGGGAGTTGCTCTGCAGATTTTAGGTTTAAACATGGGACACAAAATAAAAACTCCAACTGCTGGGAAAGACTTCTGGGTTGCAAGAGCCACAGAAGACTGGAGCTGGGGGATGTCTGAGTCCTCCCCTGAAGACTCACATCCCAGATGGCAAGGTGGCAGAGGCTTTGGGGAGCAGAGGTGGCAGTGACAGCCCACGGGCTGCAGCTCATCCCACTGCCCTAATGCTGCAGATGATAACCCCACCTAACCAAACGTGGGGGATAGCAGTAACTCACAGTGTCATGCCAGCACAAGGACTCTCCCACAATGACCCAGCAATGAGTGCAGAAGAAAAGCCACACAGATTAGTCATTGCTTCTTCTGCATTGGCAATTCATCCCAAGCTCTAATGAACATAAATAATGTCTCCTGCACTCTCAACAGCAGACCGAGGAGAGCTCACGCACAGGGACACGAGCATGGTATTGCTTATTTTACTGGGAGAGAGGAGGGAAGTTGCTGGAATAAATTACATTGGCAGCTCATGCACAGGGACACAAACTCACTTTCTGTAAGCACTGCAGAAGAAGCACATTTTTTGAAGTGACTGAGCAGAGATGGTTTTAAGCTGCACGAATGAAATGTGACTGTTGTGCTAAAAACAGGCACATGGTCAAATACTATAGTTGAACTGTAACTTAGTAAAGTGTGGTAAGTGACATGCTTTAAATCTTGTGACTCTGTCCTTCATTTCCTCAGACAGGAGGAGAGCAGAGCAGCAGACATTTTCCCCTTTGTGGGATATTTTTTGAGGCTTGAAAATGTTTCCATACTTAAGCAAAGACAGAACACTTTAATCTCAAGAAGCCTGGTGAATTTATAAACCTCAAATTAGATCAGGTCAATTGAAAAACTGCACTTCAAAATAATTGCAAATGGTTTCATTTAGGTTTTGGGTCTGAAAACATATAGTTGTATTATAAATTAAATATAAAGCAGAAAGTGGTGGAGGGGTTAAGTGTCAAGATGTAATTTCAACACTTTCAAACACTTTTTGGCATTATTTCTAGAAAAGGAAAACCAAGACCTGATTTCCACCCAAGGCTCCCCAGCTGCTATCTCTACAGATGGGTTATATCTTGGCAAACATAACATTTAACTCACCAATAGCCAGCATGAGATTCCTTCCTGCATGTATGAGGAGAGAAGCTGGGCGTGAGT